TTGTGGTCGGTTAAGAAAGAAAACGTCTACACCGCTCGGATCAAATATTGTTCCGAATTCGATGATGATCTTCAATAGGTTGCGAAGTTCATCCCATCGAGTTACATTAGTATTATCAACAGTTGTATTCATAGATCCCGAATCATCGCCGATAACGATTATCTCATAGTCTTTCAGCGCACGAAGACGATAACATTTATCAGTTGGTATCTCGTATCGAAGTCTGATTTGCTCAAGTTTACGATTGATCTCCAGAGATACTATAATAAAGAAGGTTATAAGTCAGAGGATCTTCTTCACATCACAGTTTTGGAAATCTTAGCAGGGGCACAATCTTGTGGAAGATACAATTATCTTTTATACTTACGTAATTTACCAGAAGCGTCCTGTTCTCCAAGATCAATGCTACCCGATCCATTCGCTTCTTCGCGTCCCAAATCAGTCAAACTTGTGGTATCATAATTTATTCTTTGTGCATGATTCTCACGGTTATTCATATTGACCAAAAACTAAATACGATCGATAGAGGCGTAGAAATAGTTTATCAACATGCGTTGGTGTACAAAGTAAAAGAATTTTATGCGTCGAAAAGAAATTGTGATCTATGCATTATATCTATACATTATTCAAGTTGGTTTTTTCCCATACTTCTGTTGATCAAACATACAAATGAAAATAAAAAGGCATGCATGGTGCGTGTGTTCTGTTTGCGAATTGTTATTGAAGTTTATACTTTATTGCCCATAAAAGAAACAGTAAAGACAGATTTCAATACAAAAATAAATTTGGAAGTAAAAATTCTTTCCAACATATGACTGTGAGTTGGAAGGTATATTATTCTCTATTAAAATGATCGAGGTTGGCACCGTCCATCTGATTGTAACGCACATGAATAAATGCAATATCCTTGTTGAAATTCGAAGCTTGATTAAGATAAACGCTTGAATGAACAATTTCGCTCCAATAAACAGCTATAGATTGTAATAAGATCTTCTGAAACATACGGGATAGTTCTGTGTTATCAACCTTATAGAGAATTAACCTTCAACTCATGTGCAAAAATATAATGAACATATCGGATGATTATGATCCCGTATTGGTCAAACAATGAATATGTGATGGAAAGAACGTCCATCAAACGCGGCGAATACATCGAATGGAACATCAACTGTCTCCTGTCTTTTCTCTTTCTGTGACAATCACAATTCAATGGTTTTTGAGCGTTTGTCTGAAATATGGTGATTAGCAATCAATGTTCAGTTTTCTTACAAAGACACAAATTGACGGCTGGAAGAAAATATCTGTACTTTATTTACGATGTATATCATGAAAGGAAATTATTTAACAATGGTTCGTTCACATTGAATGTCTTTTTTTCTTATCAGAATAACATTTTAACGGGTTTTCAAATGATATTCTCGTCGACGAAAGGATCCTTATCAAGAGTGTCGATATCGTTTTCACTTCACAACTATAATTATCATTTAGAAATTGAATACTTGATTGTTTTTAAAAAGAATGATTTTGTTAAAGAATCACCAATGATTGCAAAAATTTGTAAAATGTGTGATTTTCAGAAGAATATCTTACGCTCATTTAACTCGATAATAGAAGCTGCGTCACATTGAATATTTATTTAATTAAAAAAGAAAATTCATTTGTTCAAGAAAGCAGAGAAGAAGATGTCTGGGAAAGATGCTGGATTATCAACAGTGTAAACGAATCTTGCGATATTTATATTTTAATGAGAAAATAGTAAAACAATCAGGAGTATATATAGAAGAAGTCGTTTTTTGTTTTCCATCCAAAGGCAATTGGAATAGTTCCTTACGATGATCAAGTTATGTTTCACACAATTATGGATTTTGATATTCTTCGTGACTATGTAAGCTTTAACATATTGAACAAGATCGATAGTACGGATGACATCATTAACATTTAGAGTTTTCGTTGATCTAGGTAAAAGCGTCATGTTATGTCCAACAGCAATATGGCAAAGAAGTGCTATAACAGTTGCTGGTGGCAGTACAGGCATATCAGGTTCTAATTCATCAACACTCTACTCTCCAACCGCCGTACGTGTTGATAAGAATTCAAACATATATGTGCTCGATAGTGGCAACTATCGTGTGCAACGCTTTTCTCCAAATTCTACCATCGGAACTACAATTGTCAACGGTAGTGCAGGCATAGCATTCAATCAGTTTTATAGTCGTAAGTTCCTTAGATTTTGGTGAATAGTTTATCATATGCACGTATTGTTTGTTTTTCCAGTGGATGACATGAGTATCGATAATAGTGGCAATATATACATCCTTGATAGTGCTATTGGTCGTGTTACGAAATGGGCACAAGGAGCGTCGTCTGGAGTGGTCGTGGCTGGCGGAAATGATCTCGGTAGCAATGTAAATCAACTCTCCTATTCTAGTGGAATGTTTTTGGATCCCAACACAACAGTACTTTGGATTGCCGACACGGGCAACCATCGTATAGTAAAATGGATTTCACCGACAAGTAGTATGGTAGTATGTGGTAGTCGTGGAGCTGGTGACGACCAGTTTACCTATCCATTTGGAATATTTCTCGATGGAAGTAACTCAAATACACTTTATGTGGCAGATACATTTAATCACCGCATTCAAAGATGGTTAGCTGGAGCTACTAGTGGTACGACAGTAGCTGGATTCACGGGTTATTATGGGAATGGTCTCAGTCAATTATGGTGTCCGACGTCAGTCACATTAGATAATAATCGAAATATGTTCATTGTTGACTCAAATAACAATCGTATTCTTCAATGGGCTATTGGCTCAAGTTCAGGAATGATTGTTGCAGGTGACATATATTACGGCGTAGCGGCATATTTGCTATACGCTCCCATGAACATTGATTTTGATTCCAATGGATCTTTGTTTGTTGCTGACACAGCAAATAATCGGATTCAGAAGTTCCTTATATCTTGTCGTGAGTTGTGCTTGTTGATATTTGGATGAAGATTGTTATTGATTTTCTTTGGTTTTAGCACCGGCACAGAATATCTCAACAACAGTATCGCCTGCAACAACATCTGGTAGGCTCTGGAGATTTATAGGGATGAATGGCAGGTAGTATCATTACTGATGGTTTCGTTTGTTCTAGCGCCTATGTCGAACACTATTTGGTCGCTGAATGGAAATTCATCAACACTTCTGACTGAGCCTTCAGATATTTCTATAGAGCGAAATGGCACACTCTATGTGTTAGATGCAGGAAATTATCGAGTGCAGCGGTTTCTTCCGGGTTCAACAGTTGGAGCGACAGTAGTTAGTGGTAGTTATGGTACGGGATGGAATCAGTTTTATAGCAGTAAGTTGGCTTGTGCATAGACTACTATTGTACTGTTAAAATGATTTTAGTGGATGCTATGAGTATAGATGCTAATGGTAATATTTACATTGCTGATAGTGGTAATGCTCGTATCATGAAATGGTCACCTGGCGCACCCAATGGAACAATCGCTGTTGGAGGTAATGGAAATGGGAACAATGAAAATCAATTTCGTTGTACTTATGGCATATTTATACCGGAGAATTCGTCAAACATCTGGCTAGCTGATACTTGCAATCATCGCATTGTGCGATGGAATTCTCCAATTACAGGTACTACTGTTTGTGGAAGTTATGGAGCGGGAGCAAGCCAATTCTATTACCCGTTCGGAGTGTTCGTCGACTCGAGTGCTTCAAATACATTGTATGTTGCTGACACATACAACCATCGAATTCAAAGATGGCTATCGGGTGCAACCAGTGGCAGAACTGTGGCAGGACAAACAGGTAATTGCAATAATGGATACAATCAACTGTGCTATCCAGGAGCAGTTGTTGGAGATGAGAATGGTTACATATACATTGTGGACAGTTCCAACGATCGCATTATGAGATGGATGGTAGGATCGAGTTATGGTACTGTTGTCGCTGGAAGTTCAACATTTGGAGTACTGCCAAATCAGCTTTATCGTCCCAAAAACCTCCGACTGGATTCAACGGGAGCTGTGCTCGTCGTTGATATTGAGAACAACCGTATTCAGAAATTTGCCCTTCTTTGTGGTATGTTTCAATGATTTGAATAGTGTCATAAAAGATTCTTGTTTTCCATATTAGCATCATGCTTGAACATCGAAACAGGAGGATCAACAGCGTTAGGTAAGCGAAACAATTTTTCTGACAAACAATGTCGAAATCAAGCAATTATTTAGGTACAAATACTAGTTTACCCATGAGATCCAACTCTTCTGTTACTACTTCAAATCCGACACAGAAAATGACGACTAAAACAGCAGCAGGCGGTACTTCTACTGTTAATCAACACTTATCTGCATGGTTTTTTATACTGATTTACACAATCGTTCATTCGATGAAAATTTAAATCAAAAAATTCCTTCAAACTCATTCGTTAATCTTCTTCAGCTTTTCGTGTGTTTCCTTTTCTGATTCATGTTAACATTTCAATTATATAAATCCTTCTGTAATTCCGATGGAAAATAGATGCGTATTGACATGATATGCATACAAGGATTTAGAATAGAGCAATCATAAGAAACGTATACTCACAAATTGCTTTCATCGTGTCTGTTTTCGAACAGTCAGAAAATGCAATTGTTAGGCGTACTTGTTTTTCTCGCCAATCTAAGACTTTGCATGCCTTATGTTCGTTCCACTATGTACACGAGTGAAGAAGCTTGGATGCGAATGTTTGTTCAAACCAGAGATAATCACGGTTGTGATGCAATCATTCCTAGTTGTGGTCCGAAGGGTCAATGTTGTGATCGTCATGACGAATGTTATAAGAGACATGGTTGCCGTGCAAATAGTTGGGGCTGGTCATGTAAGCAAACGTTTTTGACACATTTCCCTATGTGCATTCTGTCATTGATATTTATATAGGGATACCAGGTGTAGCACTGTTTGACTCATGTGCTCGATGTAATAAAGCAGTTTTATTTTGTGTTACGAATATATTTGTATGGCCCGGGCCAAGTGAATGCTGTGGAAATGGAAATTGTGGACATAGTAGACAATAATGATTATTTATAATAAAAAAAAGAAAGGTTTTTTAAAGTGTGTTCAAGTTTTATTGTTGATTGTCGATGCGTGAACATACCGATTATTAATTTGTGTTTCCTCCTGGTCTTTCTCGATGTTCGTTAACATTTCTCGAACAGTTTGTTCGAAATTTTTCGGCAATCGTTCCAATAATCTCTCCAATGTCATATCAATCTGTGCAAGATCACCACGTTGCACAGCTAAATGAATTTCAGCCCATATTTTCATCCATACTTCATTTTGAGTTTTCGAATGTTGAACAACATATTCTTCAAATGAAACAATTTTTATCGGGATATGACGATTCAAAACATTCGAAACAATCGAAGCGGTTTCTTTTAATGTGTAAGCTTTCGAACCAGTTAGCACAACATTTTGATTGTCGTAAATATCCGTTGTTTCGATTAATATTTTCGCAGTTGCTTCAGCTAGATCATCCCTTGAAACGAAACAAATTCCACCGTCAGCTGGTATAACAATCTCATTAGTTGTCTTAGCATCGAAATGTCCGAGAAAAAGCGGAAACACTTCGGAATAGAAACCTTCACGAATAATTGTATATTTGAGTGGCGAGGATTTCAGTAAATTCTCTGTATGTAAATGTGCATTCATTATCTCAACGTCTACTGCATCTGCGAGGATCGTACTTGTGTAGTAGATATGTCTAATACCTACATTCCTAGCTGCATCAATCGCATTTCGATGTTCTTCAATTCGTCGCTCCTTGTTGACTGTAATTGACGAAATTAGGAATAACATTTCCCCACCTTGAAAAGCTTTTTCAAGTGTTTCTTTGTTCTTATAATCACCATGACGTACATCGAACACGATCTTCTCTATTTGAGAATCGACACCATTAGGATTATAAACAGAAATAATCACATTTTTTGGATCAACACCGAACTTTAGTAGAAAGCGTAAAACTCTCGAGCCAAGTGCACCAGTTGAACCGGTTAATACAATCTTACCCATCGATAATAATCGAATGAGATAAGACTCTGTTTACGCATATTTGTCCTATCATTGAAAAAGCACATGTTGTTTCTATTTGCGTCATTATTACGTCGGGCGAAATTATCAATTACCTTTCACAGATCAGTGTGTGGCGTAATGCGAACACACACTAAAGAATCTGTACTGAGTGCTGTGTCGTACGTAGACGAAAAGAAAACCTACATCTGTCCGACCTTTAACGACAAACTCGTTCTTAACTATGATTGGTGAAGACAACGATGAAAGAAAAAGAAAAGTTTTTATTTCATAATCGTTTTGTCGAGTCTATGCAATTTTGAATTCAATTGTTCGACCCACAGCTTCCATTTGTTGCTGAATATCTAACGCCTTTTGTCTTGCTTGCTGATCTACTATCACATTAGTGCTTGGTTTAAGTACGATTTTCTTCAATGTCGGACGTAGTTGCAGCGCACCTTTCCATTCGACGAGATCTAACAGTCGAACGAGATTTCCTTGATGGACAATTATACGAACGTCTTGAATGTTAGTTAAAACTCGAATGAAGTCTCCGATCGTTTTCAATTCGCATATTGGATGGAACTGATGACAACTGTTTACAATTGATGTGGAAATAAGTTCGATACTAATTAGTAGATGTTCGATACTGGAGTTGAAATGGCAACCTTTGCTGAAGAGATAATCCATTCGATTATGAGAACAAAGAACGTTCGTACAAGCGATTTTCAATCGTTTGACTGAGCTCGGGAAGTATCGGATGCAATTGCATAAATTACGAAAATCAACATATTTGGCGTAACAAAGAGAAAGGCAGGTAACGTTGACAAAATATGCGAGATAGTCATTCATTTGATCTAGTCGTTCAATGTTAGTCAAAATCAATCTCTCCACATAAGCAGAAGCTGTTTTGTCTTTGAGTAACTGCAATTTAGAACTTAAATCATCTACTTTGATACGTAACGCTATAATCAATTCGGGCGGAATTCTATTAATGATTGTTGCCATGAATTCATCCGAGGGATTATCGAGTAATAATTTAATCTTGCGTTCTTCCAATATACCGGCATATTTAGATGAAAATGTCGTTAATGCGTCGTTTAATGTCATATATGGCACTATTTCATAAAACATATCATCACATAGACGGGCGACTCGCAGGAAATCGAATGCCTAGAAAATAAAATGGACGATCTTAGAATTGAAGTAAAGAGAACACCAACGAGATTTTTCTCATTGTCATCAAATTGATCTTTAAATTTGAGTAATTCGTCGAATAAAGTTTCCAGAGTTAAATCGCCCATGGTATGTATTAAATGCATACCATCGAATAATAATTCAAATTCGCAATCGGACAACTCGTCATCTGATTGTCGCAGAACGCCGATTAAGATGGGTGGACACAATTCCCAAGGATCATTTACCACAAAGTCAATGTCGAATAAAGTCGGGCATATTTGATATAACCTAAATGGATCTGATTAGAAAATATTTCATTAATCATGTCACATACATAGTTCTATTCGAGTATTGAGTGATGTCACACAGCCAAAGAGTATAATTTTCATTCAGAAACTCAAGTAGATATTCAGAGTGGAACATATATTGATAAACATCAAAATATGAGAAACTCCTTGGCTGATGAACGTAAATTAGCAGTGGACGACACTATCGGAAAAGAAAAAAATTCAATATTAATTCCATAAAAACTTACTTTTGTTTCAGTTGAATTAAATGCACATTCACGAGCTTGTTGAAATGTTCTTCCAAAAGACCGCAGATACTGACGGCTAACGACATCTGTTTCACTACTCTACTTTGATGCAATTGCATGTGAATTACAAGTGACTCAAACATCGATACTCACCATAGTCTCGCAAACTGTTTCACTGTTATATGAAGATAAATCATCGATTTGCATTCTTTTTGCAGTATATATATACAAAAGTACTCGCTATGAACTAAGGAAAAAACCTACTGTAGCACAGTGCGAGGGTAGTAAATCACAGATTACAGAATCGAAAAGAAAAAAAGTAACTTTTTCCTACCGACGAATAAATTTTCCAACCAATCAACCGCTGCTAAATTTCGTGCTGAGCAAAAAAAAGAAATGTTTCTGTTGAATGAACTTTCGCCCCACATAAAAATTGTCGATCGAACGATCTCGATAAGTATTTCATTGTCAAATAACATCCCAACGTCTTCCTTAATGATAAAGAACTCAATGAAATTATATAGAAAACCTAAAAATAATAACCTATATATACGCGTGTATGCACACAGTAGAAACAAAAACCGACTTTTCTCGATCACCGTCATCCGTACGATCAGCGGTGACACCAAGACGACACGACTCACCAATGATGGTACACGTTAGTCGAACGTCATCGCGTCGGAATTCGATGAATAATATATAGGAAGGCTTTTCTATCTATAAATCAGTTTTCATATTTTGTGTACATTCAGTGTGTACATCAAGTGGTCAATAGTGTAAAATTGAAAAATATTATTCGTACGAGTATTCGACCAGTACGAAATGTAAACTTATTAGGGGGAGACGTAACTTTTATATGTTTTTCGTTTTCATCCAGCTTCTCTACAGACTCACTATTGCGAACATGATCAAATTCATTCTGTTAGCGATAAGAACATTCGCGCACAAGGTCAAGTGAGAAATCCTTGAAAAAAGACTAGTGATAACCTGATGCAGTGTAGACGCGCAAGAATGTGTGGATAAACCAAGGGGCAACCATAGCGTAACGCCATTCCATTCGATGTATGTCATTGTTTCAGAGTAGATTATCGATGGGCAAACAGATCGACTTGAGTCTTTGGGTGATATTCGTGATATCTTAGAGCAGGCGAGGAAAAAGAAAACACGAAGATTAGAATCTAATCTTTTTTTACTGTCGTTCATATTTACTGGTATTCCTTACAGAAAACGATGTGTTTTTCCTATGCATGTCTAATTGATGTTGGATTTATTGCACTCATCGTTGGCACACTACGCGATATATTATTTGTCGGTCTGTTGCTGAAATCTACCACAATACCAAGAAAATTCATGCTTTTTCATTAGACAATAGATAAAAAAATTGTCTTTAAAGGCGCCGCAATAACCATTATAACCTCATCCACAAGCACAGCTACTCAATTTATTGGCAATTTTTCATGTAAAAATACATTGGCAATATCATGATCGAATTTGCTTGTAAGATGGAACTTTAAGAATAACCTCCAGGAGAATGCTATGAATTCAATTAGCGCTGCTGTAAGTAAGACTATGTACACAGACGGTTATGTGAATAAATCTCTAGCATTCAACTTGAATGCCAACCAAACATTAACATCATCTACTATAAGTTTAACGAGCACAAATTTTACCATTAGCACATAGATTTACCCCACAGATTTGCCCGCTGTTCCAGATCATGGCATTATTGGTCTTTGTGCAGGTGTTACGACTTATGAATGCTTATGTATAGTTGTTTGTGAAAGTGGTGGAAATTATAATCTTTATTTTACATCCTTCAATTATGATTGTGTTGGCGACGCATTTCTATCAACAAACAAATGGATATATGTTGTGCTTGTTTTCGACGCTGCTTCATTATCACGAAGTACCTATATCAATGAGAAATTGGATGCAGCAGGAACACCCTTCCAAGGTACTCTCGATAGCATCACGACCGGTGATGTATGCACACTTGGTCCCATGAGCAGAGACAACCATTTTCAAGTCAAATTTGTTTGTCTATGTTACAAACTAGTCACTTCTGTCGTTCTAGGGATGCACAGATCAACTAATCATGAATGATCGAGCAAAATCAAGCTACGAAATCCTACAAGAAGCTACATTATCCAGATGTGTTACTTTCTATTCTGGCATGTCATCCGTTGATCCAGGACCTAATTCATTGCCAGGTGCTGGTTAATAGATTTCCTTCGTATCCGCCGGTCGTTCAGGGAGCGCAGTTTCATTCAGCAGTGCATCTTCATCATATTTTCAAATAGTGGATATGACCACTCTCGGTATTAACAACCGGCCATTTTCTATCTTGTTTTGAATACGAACACGATCACTATCCGGAACATTAGTTCATATTTCTAGTTTGTCCACTGGCCCTGATTGATGCATACTTTTCGTAGGTTTTGCTACCAACGGTCCGATTGTTGTTCAAATACTCAATGGTGTTATTCGATCTGCCATAGGTCCAACTATACCACTGATACTAGCTTGGGCCCATATTGTTGAAATATAGAGCCCAGCAAATGGTCTACGGCTGTACATGAACAATGCTCTAATTGCATTGACTACTTGTGATTCGCGACTTCATATACCGTAAGTTCGATGTCCACTTATGTGACGATACGAAACAGCTCGGTTGGTACTAGTATTTGTAACCCTGGTTCAATCAGCTCGATAGCGCCTTGCAGCGGCGATATGAATGATTTTTGTATTTACAGTCGAGAATTGAACGCTGACGACATATGCACACTTTTCAAGACATAAACTGACATCTTGAAGACTAGTGACATCTGAAAAACTGTACACGTTCGTTTTCTTTACAGGAGAATGCATTTCAGTCATAATATTGATCCCTCTCCGAAGGAATACTTTTCTCTGAAAACAACTTCACAATTTATAGAAAAATTCACATATTCTCTTCATTGGTTAAAGTTCATTCAAATGAAAAAGTAGTTTATTTCGCGATAAGAAATAAAACTTTTCATACCTTACCTTTGCAGATTCGTTGGCGATTAAAATGGGTTTAGCACCATGTATCATTTCATTTGTCCTTGGTATGTAGTCTCTTTCCATTCCATTTCTCATCCTGTTCATTGCAGGTCTCTTGGCAATCGATATGTTCTGCGATCATTATTTATTCGTGTCCCCGTCTCTTTCGTCCGAACAATTGCAAACATGTACCTCGTATTATCAAAACGCGTTTCGTCAACCGTGGTACACCTCCTTGACAACACTCGCTCCAATACTAATTGGTGCTTTGATTATGCTTCGAAATATAGTACGAACAATTTATGATACATTGAGTGTACCAGTGTTTCTTGGAGTTGTCACAATTTTTATCCTCAAGATTCAAAAGTCGATCGAATCAATCTCGGTTGATCTTCAAGCAAACGATAAGACAAAAGAGAAATATTTAAGAGAAATCGCTGACAATCATGCGATCATCGGAGGATTGCTAATCGTACTGTTGATATTGCAGATCTTGGCAGAAAAACGAGTTCAAACTTTGAAAAAGAAACAAGCGTGAGCACGAACGAACATTGATTTTCTTTTCTACTTTGGTTTTTTATTTACTCAATAAAACTTAGCTGTTCGATATCCGTATTTCTGTAACCATTTGAGTTCTTCTCGAACTTTGATTTTACCATGCCACGGATTTATAGTCAAGTCATGCCCTTCACCAGGAAAGACAATCAAACTGACAGGTACACCTAGGTAATATAAACTACGTTCTAACATATACGACTGTGCCGGATCGACTCGAATGTCTTTTTCACCAGTAACAATCAGTGTTGGTGTACGTATTCGATCTAATTGAAAGATCGGCGATTGTGTTTGATAGATATGGGATTCATCCCAAGGATATCCGCCAAATAGATGCTGGAAAAGCACAGGTAAATCCATTGTNTATAGTCAAACCGATATTCGCTCAAAATTCATCAAACTAGATAAGCCAACTGACGAAACTCAACCAAGACTTCCCATTCCACCAACTGTTGTTCATTTACGTCGTGCGAAAGGCAAAGTTGTGCAAGATTGCGATGTCTATATTGCACGTGCTTGTAACATGGGAGGCTGGAATCTTCCGCAAAGTAAATGGCACAATCCATTTTCTGTCAAACAATATGGACGAGATGGTGCATTAGAAAAATTTAGAAAACATATCGAATCGAATGAAAATAATCTTCTCAATGATCTTCATGAGCTCGAGGGAAAACGATTAGGGTGTTGGTGTAAACCGAAACCATGCCATGGTGACATTCTTTGTGAACTATTCAAACGAGAGATTCAACAATTGGCAAAAAATATCTCGGAATAATGGATTCATGTCTATTCTTCTCTTTTTCTTAAGTATATATCAGTCTTGAATAAAATGTAATCGATGTCTGACGCAGTTTTCCTGGAAGATAGTAATGTTTGAAGAGTTTGTAATTTCCTCTTTAAAATCAAAACATAAAGTTGCTCAAGGACTCTTGTTAGCGTGAAACGATTAACTAGGACAATTCGACACTATTATTGTGTTCATAAAAATAGTCGATGGCGTACTTTTCTTGCACGTTAGTTGTCAGACAGCAAGTCTATAGCCTATATCAACAACGGATGTGCTCTGAGTGCGATCGATCGAGTCAGTATTTTTTTTTTCTTATTTGATTAAAATCGACAAGAACAAATAGTAGGCTCTTGATTGTGTTTCATTTTTTTATTATTCCATTACAGATCCGGAAATTATTTCTTCTTAGTGTGCGTTTTGCACTTTTTTCAGGAACATAACTTGAGAGTTCTGATCAAGAGTCAGAATGTTTTGGCAACGAGTAGTCCTTCTTCTTCTTCTTGCTTGCTGTTTATCTATATCAGCAACGAAAATTATCATTATAAAAGATGCTCGATTAGTACCATCGAATACAACCGTCGTGTTAAATGCATTGTTTAACATCACTTCGCAGTATGAATGCGTTTGTCAGTGCTTGAGTGCATCTCAATGCCGTACGGTTACCTACTACGGATATAATAACACTTGCTCACTTTTTTCTACATCCGTAAAACAAACTTGGCTCCGAAGAATGTCATCAAACCAAAGCACAAATGTGATTTCTCTGGATAATGGCACACTGAGTTGTAAGTAAAATGGCTACTACCATTGCTTCTTACGACATATATCTATATGCTGTTTTAGCATGCACTACATACGATTTTCAGCAACCGCCATCTCTGTTCGTTACCAACGCAGGTCCTACAGCAATGGTGTCTTCCGACTTCAATCGAGATGGCCATATCGATTTGGCGGTGACCAACACCGATGCGCAAAGTGTGTCAGTTTTCGTAGGCTTAGGTGATGGATCGTTCGATGCAAATGTGTTGACTTTTCCTACAAACGGTAGTAATCCTTACTGGTTGACTGCTGGTGATTTTAACAGTGATGGACATATCGACTTAGCGAATTGTAACGAAGGATCAAATACTATTTCTATTCTCTTTGGATATGATAATAGCTCCTTGTTTTCGGCACCTACAACTTTTTTAAGCGGTGGAACTTTACCATCCTCAATCATCAATGTCGATCTGAACAATGATATGAAATCTGATCTAGTCGTGACAAATACAGGTAGTGACAAGATTACTGTGTTTTTGAGCAACGGTAACGGAACATTTCAATTTCCTGGATTATCGATGACGACTCTGACATTACCGTCATCAGTTGCCAGCGGTGATTTCAATTATGATGGAAAGATGGATTTAGCTGTAGCTAGTCGTGGCACCAGTCAGCTGTACATCCTATTTGGCTTGGGTAACGGAACATTCCAAAGTAATATGTCTATTTATTCGACTGGATCAACTCCATATCTCGTTCGTGCAGGAGATTTCAATGGAGATGCAGTATTCGATGTTGTTGTGGGTAATTTTTATTCGAATTCGGTCAACGTCTTCATTAACAATGGCTCGGGTGCGTTCAATACAATGTATACGTATACAACATCCATAGTAAATCCAATTGACATTGCTATACATGATTTAAATGCAGATTCGATCGTTGATCTAGCTGTTAGTAATCAAGGTGGTAATATAACAATCTACTACGGGACTGGTAATGGAACATTTGGTCTAGTGAAGTCCCTTTCATCACAAGGTCAAACATTGAAATCAATAATCATTTCCGATCTCAATGAAGATGGCCTAGATGACATAGCGATACTCAATAGACAAAATAATAAACTGGCTGTTCTACTAGCAGAATGTATTTAATTCTCAAACACACCTAATACATGTATTTTAACTGAATGATATCAACATAAAAAAATAAAGTCCCACAGCTTGCTCTTCTTTGCATTAGATCGTATTCTCTTGAAAATGTTCATCTATCGTGAGTCCTTCACGTTGTGTTTCTTTTTCATATCCAGAATTCGTAGTTAAACTTCGTTTTGGATGACAAACTGACCAGGTAAAATGTGCAAATATAATAGGCACCATTTGAAAGCCGAAGAACCATCCTTCATGATGGTTAATTGTCGTGTAGAATTCTTGTAACGACTGAAGAAGATTAAATATTCCAACAGTCAAACACATAATACTTGAAACACACATAAGAACAAGTGCTTTGCTGTTCATGTCATGGATTGTTCGGCTCCAGTACCAAACAGGATAGAAAACGACTGTGCCAGTGAGTAAAATCGAAGCAGACAATTCACGGAAAAGGTAACTTGTACTGATGTTTTCTGGTTTGAAGGCTAACATATTTGCCGGTACCATGAGTACACCCGATGTGATAACGCACAGCATAGCACTGAGAAGAATGAAACGTGACTTTTTATGATGAATTTCCATAACAAATGCAAAATTTCCAACGATGATCATACGTTGACCAATGGCAAAAAGCATATTGGTAATAGCGAAAACTGTTCGCGAGTTCTGTTGTTCTGCAGGCACCGTTGCACGAACAATAAGTTCAATGAAAATGGTCATATGTGAAACAAGTAAGAGAACAGATATACGAGTTGGTTGAAAACGTGCTTGACATGATTGAATGAGCCAGGCGATCAAAGATATACTGACTACACCAGCAACACAACCGTTTGCAGTTTTACTTGGAATATAAGTTGGATATGGGTATCCAAAAGATGCGTTCATTTTTGTGTGCTGAAGGTCTTTGAAGAAAAAAATATATTCTAATGACACATGATCTCGTAGTTGTTTAAAATTCTTTATCTGTGGTCGATAAGGCAACAATATGACGATGAAGAAACAACAACATAGAAGATATATTTGGATAGTGAATCAGAGAAAGAAAAGGAATTCGTCCTAGGCAGATTCGAGCGGACTGTATGTTTTTCGACGTATGATATTGAATTTGATCTATAGAAAATGTTTTCTCTTTTTATTTGCAAATCATCGATGGCACACTTCGCTATATACAGAAAAAGAAAATCAAGATTATTACAATAGTGTACAATATTAATTTGTTTTGCTTCGATTGAAATAATTGTTGAAAGCAAATTTGGATTTATCTCGAGCCAATGCTTCACAACTAACTTCTCCGTATTCAATACTTAAGACTGTACCATCAGCACCAAGAAAACGATTAACGACAGTCAAGACTTTGCATTCGGCAGGAGGAGCGGGAATGGTTGGGATGTTGTTTGCTTCAGAATCTAAATCACGCGACATCTTATGTCTAATGAGAACACGAAGCGAAAATGGGTTGCGATTTTATACTGCAATTTCAAGAATCGAACAACGCAATTGTGCAGAAAAGGGAAGTGATGTTACACGTCAAGTGATCGGACAGTCTTATTAAAATGATGACAAATAGAATAAATAAAATGCATGGCATTCTTCGTCTTCCCTATACTGTGTACACTTTTATTCGTTTGAGAAAGAGAAATTATTTTTCTTTGACAGAATAGTATATTTTTTTTCATACTGAATTGAAAACTTTTCGAACAAATAAATCCGTTGTTGACGTTGGAACTATCTTCGATCACGAATCTTATTTCAGTATATTAAAAGCAACCACGTATTACAAACGACTAAAATCACTTATTGCCGTTTAATCATCGTAGATCGATTTGAGATAGTGAATGTACGATAGCAGACTCACGGAAAATTGAAGGAAACCGTTGGATATATTCGAAACTCGTTATTTTTGTTTTCAACTTTGGGCAAACATTGCATGTATTAAAAAGAGACCTTTCGTCATCTTTGTCTCATAAGAAAGTTCGCTTAGGTCGTTGCAATGAACTAAATCACCAGCAGATAAAAAAATCGACGAAGTTTGTTCTGTGTTTATTTATGTACCTTTTTTAATGATGAAATACACCCTTTCCTATTGGATTAAAAGCTTGGTTGAAAGGTAATTTTCTTGTTTCTTCGTCGATATTCATACAACGTCAGAAAATATTTGTTAATTACATTCTCCACGATTGAGAATCATGATTAAAGACAGAATAAGTATCACCGTTAATTCTTATTCAATTCGTAAATCATATTCTGTTCTTTTTACTGATATAATCTTTCCATGTTTGAAACTACGTTCAGTTTTCATGAACCTTTCATATTTCTCTTTTCCATGATTTGAAGTAAGTTAAATACAATTATTTTAACGAAACACAATCTTTTTCTATACTTCTCGTGCAACCGCTGCGAATTCTGTAGAGTGGTCGTTTATTTATATTCATTTTGTGTATAAAATATAGCAGAAGGTTAATGCACAAAATCTCCTCTAACTGTTTCTCAAGTACTCATATCTTGGAGTGCATCGAATCAGCTAGACCGTCATCAGGGAATCCTTGTTAACGCGACTTTTGATTCATAATTCGACACCCTCACCCACCCTTTGTACGGTGTGTCCTTTACATTGTGGTGATTTTTGAAAGCGTTTATTCGAAACTAAACTAAAGTAAAGTGACGAGTCAGCATGAGTTTAAAAATATATTCAGAGTTTTGGTTGATACACTAGTAGTGACGATATCCAAACGATCATCCCCATTCAAATCTCCAATCGCTACTGCTGATACTTGTGCATCCGTTGTCAAGCTCATTGGTTTTGCAAATGTTCCGTCCCCATTGTTTAGAAAGACGCTCACGTAATTACCAGAGCCACTACCAGTGACTATATCAATATTTGTGTCGTCATTTAAATCTCCAACTGCTACTGATCTTGGATATGGTCCAGTTGAATAAACTATTTGCGATCGAAATGTACCATCGCCATTGCCAAAGAATACACTCACTGTAGAAGCGTCATAATTAGCAGTAACAATATCCGTGTAGTTGTCATTGTTAAAATCTGCTATAGCTAACCCCCATGGACTTTTTCCTGTTGAATATGGTTGACGTTGTTGGAAACTTCCATTGCCATAGCCAAGATAGACACTTACAGTGTTACTTGAATAATCTGTCGCTGCAAAATCTAAATGTTGATCTTTATTGAAATCAGCAGTAACAACTGCTGTTACATAAAGACCTGTAGGTAAAAGATTGTAGCTCTGGAAAGTCCCATTACCGAATCCCAACAAGATACTGGCAGTATTGTCGTAATCATTGACAGCAACTAGGTCAAGATGATTGTCATTGTTGAAATCACCAGCATTTACACCGTACGGATAATTACCAACAGGAATATTTAAACGTGTATTAAACGTTCCATTACCAAAACCAAACAACACTCCCAAGCTGTTAGCTGAAGCTTGAGCCACGATCAAATCTGTTGTATTATCTTCATTTAGATCAGCAGCAGTAACGAATACAGAATATGTTCCGACAATGATTGACGAAGTATTTCTGATTGTTCCATTGCCATAATTGAGATAGATTGTGACGCTTGGATCATATGCGTTAACTACAACAATATCTTGGTAATCATCATTGTTCAGATCGGCAATACTAATCGACCATGGTTTATTACCAGTCATGTAAGACTGATAGCTGCTGAACGGTAACGCTCGACACTGTGCATCTAAATCATAAATATGAAGTAGATAAATGAAAATTTAGACATACTAACTAGTCGACGTCGCATTCGAAATCGGATTAGTGGAAGTCGAATTTGCAACTAAAAAAAAACAATTGTTAGAGCATGCTATATTCAATTGATCGGCATCTATCTGTTATTATCACTACATGAATTAGTGTAATGTTACCTTCGCTAGTAGTTGATGTTTTTTGCGAACTGGTGGTACTCGTACTAATTTTAGTTGTACCGCCGTCTGATGAGGAATTGTTCCGATGAGTAATAAGAAAATATGCCACGATTGCAATAATGATACATGTCAAGATTAGAGCGGTGCAAATGGCGATTCGAATTTTAGTCCGTGACAATTTAGGTCTACAAAATCAATTTCCATGAAAGGGTGCACACAACATCAAGAACACGTACTTAGGTGTCGTCTTGGTCACTGACGGCACAGAAGAATCCATTGGCAACTTGCGAAGCACACGATCTCCAGTATGTATACAAAAGTCTGAAGAAGCCGTATTTTCCGCTAGAAGTAATACTTTTTTCTAACTTCAATCGCATTTTTTTAGAGACAAAACGAAGCCGCTGTTTCTTCTAAACATATTATTTCAAGTACAATGAATTTTCAGTGATTGAGTGTACTCTTTGATTTTTCTTTGACAAATACCAATACACTTTCTTACAATCTGCAGAATTATATATGTGTATATATCAAAGCGTGCGTAGATTAGTTCCAGATTCTCTTGCGAATTCATTAGATCTTTAACTAGCTCCCAGATAGACAAGCATTAAAAATAGGACGTTATTGAGCGTGAAGATGTGCGCTTTTTACGCTCGAAAAAAAAACTTGCCTTTTCCAAGAAAAATCTATCTAATTGCAATAAAGTATGTCTCCATTAGCTTACTTTTAGAAAAAAAAGATCTTCTTCACGCTCAAAAACATCGCACTTTTCAATGTTTGTCCGTCTGGGCTAGAAATGGCGCACTTTATTTTCAACAACAGCAATGATATGCCGTCGCGATTGATCTTTCCTAATGAAGATGAGAGTACAGTGGAGATCGGAATAACTGAAATTTCAGTCAAATGTATTTTTCGGCGTGAAGTAAACAAAATTCAATGCTATTAGTTTTTGAATTTAGAACAATGCATATAAATATGTTGTTCGTGTCGATTTATATTGACAGTTCTTGTTTGCTAAGTATGATGGATAAAGTATCTGAAATTCTATAAGAAAATGTTTCACATAGAGAACGCAACAATCAAATATATACCATTTATTTGTGAGAAAAGAACTATGTAGGTGCGTTTACTATCTCTATTAGTAATCATCCTAATCTACAATGATCTATCCGTATCTATAGAACCAGTGCGATTGTATCACTCGTTAGTAGCAAATAGCGATGGAAGTCATAGTTGCATGTATCGACATTTATTTACTAATGAAAAACGTGCTCGTCAGTTGGTTCCGCATTGCTTACGTCCAGCCAGATCGGAATATCCTATTGAAACTACTCGTTTGTAATTAGTGTGAAGCTAGCACGAACAAACGATATGTTAGCTAAAAACGTTTTTACTAAATATGTCCCATCCATGAAAAATACACCATTCGACTCAGAATTTAATTCTGCATCGAATGATGGTACTTTTATCCGCCGAACAATCTTTGGAAAAATTCTATCTGATTTATGAATAGACCTAAAGGAAACNCACAACACGCACCACGGATTTTTAAAACGTATCGTTGTGTATCGTTCTCGCAATCAACAAAAGCAAGAAAATTATTCAAACCCTCTTCGATTGGCTCATACCAACTGATTCTTTTATTCAGACAATGTTTGAATAACTGTTCGGCTTGAGAACGTTTAAAATTTAAGCCTTCTGTCGGACCATGACGTTCGAGTTCTTTGGGTGCTGACGCCATGACTAACTTGAATTGTACGAGAAGAAATACTTATGAGACAAGCATATCAATCGTATCCATTTTCTCTTCTTTTTATTCTCCAGCAGAATGGAAAGAAATTGTATTGGCTTATATATATCCATTATCCCTTCTCCGTTCTCTTGCCAACCTACTTATCGACATTTACGAGTGATTTACATGAACAGATGTCATTTCGAATGCGATTGACATTTTCAAATCGAGGTGTATTCTTTTTTTTCTACATACGAAGTTTGTTCTTAGTAAAAATTGAACTATAGCTATGAAGGGGTGTGGGTATGGGTGTGGGTGTGGTCAGATTGTCTGATAGTTTTATGCCCACCATACCGTTTCTGCAATCTTACCAGAGCTACCGTCTATCAATATGTGGGAAGATAATCCCTAAGCTCTAGAGCTTATTTCCGTGAATTGGCAGAGATGTTTATGACGCACCGGCGATCGGTAAAAACCTGTTTAAATTACTAAGATAAGAAATATACAACAGTTTTTCAACAAAATAACATACTGATCAATATATCAAACTGACCATTTAAATACAACCCATAATGAATTCATAACCTATGACACATTCAAAACGAAAACTAATACGCCTTAAATTCATTCGAAAAGAGAATTTTATTATGATAAAATTTATATTCAAGTATAATATGGAGGAGAAACGCTTTCACAATAAATAATAAATATAATGTAATCCGTTCAAAAGTAAGTGTTGAAGTCGCTTTTCTTATTTTTTTTGCTTGCCTTCAGAACCTGGACCATCGCCACGATGATCACCTCTTCTATTGTCATCATCTCTTCCGCGTTGTGGTGGTGGCGGGCCTGATTGACGATCAGGTGGCGGAGGTCCATTTTTGTCATCTTTTCCTAATCCACTGCAGCAGTTACCCATTCTTTCTTCGAGATTTATTCGATGTGTGGTAAAATGAAAAAATGTATTCTCTCCGAAAGTGAATTGAAACGACAATGCAAACTGGCACGATTTAAAAAGAAATAAGAAAAATACTTCGACGGAATTTTGTTGTTCGTTGTCAAGAATAATATTATTCAAAGAAAAATGAAATGATTTGTTTCGCACACCTACGACATGTTTTGTTTGATCGCCAAGCATGCGAAGTGTGGTGAACACGCTTATTTTCATGTTTAATTACATTCACGATATATTTAAACTTCGAAAATTTGACATAAGTTTTGATGATGTCTTAAATACGACTGAAAATGAACAGAATATTACAATTCGCAAAGAAGTCAATGCTCTTGAATCGTTTTGATAGACATTGAAGATGATTGTCAATGGTCTGATGTAATAGCACTGACTAGTGCGTGGATATAGTAATCAGTTCGCGTGAATTGGGAGTTACGGCCATAAAGATGACGCACTCTTCGTCTTTCCGTTTCATAATCATCACAAACATGAACATTCGGCACAGTAGTCCTAAATGCCGTCAGATAATCGACGCTCTCTTGTTCGTCTGTGCAGAGTAGAAACATAATATGTATGATCTCGTGATCGATCTCATTGCGAATAACGCGTGTGAATTCGTTTAAATCCGGATAGCCCTTGTCATCTGTTGGTAAACCATCAGTTGCGATGAACAATAAAACTTTTTTCGTTTCGTCAATGTTTGCTCTTGCAAATTCGATAACCTCTTTACTTTTCTTTGCAAGTGGTGTAAATCCAGATGGCGGATCGATGAATAAACGGTCGATACCTCGTGGATCTGTTATCCCCGTACATTGTGGTCGGTTAAGAAAGAAAACGTCTACACCGCTCGGATCAAATATTGTTCCGAATTCGATGATGATCTTCAATAGGTTGCGAAGTTCATCCCATCGAGTTACATTAGTATTATCAACAGTTGTATTCATAGATCCCGAATCATCACCGATAACGATTATCTCATAGTCTTTCAGCGCACGAAGACGGTAACATTTATCAGCTGGTATCTCGTATCGAAGTATGATTCCTTCAAGTTTACGATTGATCTCCAGGGATTCTATAATGAAGAAGGTTATACGTGAGAGGATCTTCTTCACATCACAGTTTTGGACATCTTAGCAGGAACACAATCTTGTGGAAGATGCAATTATCTGTTATACTTACGTAATCTACCAGAACAGTTCTGTTCTCCATGATCAGTGTTACCCAATCCGTTCGTTTCTTCGCGTCCCAAATCAGTCGAACTCGTGGTATTATAATTTGTTCCTTGTGCATGATTCCCACGGTTATTCATATTGACCTAAAACTAAATACGGTCGATAGAGGCGTAGAAATAGTTTATCAACATGCGTTGATGTACAAAGTAAAAGAATTTTATGCGTCGAAAAGAAATTGTGATCTTCGCATTATATCTACACGCTATTCAAGTTGGTTTTTTCCCGTACTTTCGTTGATCAAATATACAAATGAAAATAAACAGGCATGCATGGCGCGTGTGTTCTGTTTTCGAATTGTTATTCTAGCCAATGCTTTATTGTGCACAAAAGAAATAGTGTCGACGGAATTTAATACAAAAACTCATTTGGAAGTAAAAATTCTTTCCAACATATGACTGTGAGTTGGAAGATGTATTACTCTCTAAAATGATCGAGGTTGGAACCGTCCGTCTGATTGTAACGCACATGAATAAATGCAATATTCTTATTGAAATTCGAAGCTTGATTAAGATAAACGCTTGAACGAATGATTTCGCTCCAGTAAACAGCTATAGATTGTAATAAGATTATTTGAAACGCATACGGGAAAGTTTTGTGTTATCAACCTATGTGCAAAAATATAATGAACATATCGGATGATTATGATTCCATCTTGGTCAAACAATGAATATGTAACGGAAAGAACTTCCATCAAACGAGGCGAATATATCGAATGGAATATCAACTGTCTATTGTCTTTTCTCTTTCTGTGACAATCACAATTCAATAGTTTTTGAGCGTTTTTTTATCTGAAATATGGTGACTATCAATCAATGTTCAGTTTTCTTACAAAGACACAAATTTTGACGGCTGGAAGAAAATATCTGTATTTTGTTTACGATGTCTATCATGAACGGAAACTATTTAACAATATGGTTCGTTCACATGTTGAATGTCTTTTTCTTTCTTATCAGAATAACATTTTAACGAGTTTTTAAATGATATTCTCGTCGACGAAAGGATCCTTTTCACTTCACAACTAATTAGCATTTAGAAATTGAACACTTGATTGTTTTTAAAAAGAATGATTTTGTTGAAGAATCACCAGTGATTGCTGAAATTTGTAAATGTGCGATTTTCATAAGAATATCTTGTACTCATCCAACTCAACAAAAAACTGCGTCACATTGAATATTTATTTAATTAAAAAATAAAATTCATTTGTTCAAGAAAGCATAGGAGAAGATCTCTGAGAAAGATGCTAGAATATCAACTGCGTAAACGAGTCTTGCGATACTTATGTTCTAATGAGAACATAGTAAAACAATCAGGAGTATATACATAGAAGAAGTCTTTTTTTTTTGTTTTCCATCCAAAGGCAATTGGAATAGTTCCTCACGATGATCAAGTTATGTTTCGCACACTTACGGAATTTGATATTCTTCGTAACTATGTAAGCTTCGAGATATTGAACGAGACTGATAATACGGATTGCATCGTTTACATTATTTAGATTTTTTGTTGATCAAGGTAAAAGTGTCATGTTATGTCCAACAGCAACATGGCAAAAAAGTGCAACAACAGTCGCTGGCGATAGTGCGGGTACATTAGGTTCTAATGCATCAACACTCTACTCTCCAATCGCCGTACGTGTTGATAAGAATTCAAACATATATGTGCTCGATAGTGGCAACTATCGTGTGCAACGCTTTTCTCCAAATTCTACCATTGGAACAACGATTGTCAACGGTAGTGCAGGCATAGCATTCAATCAGTTTTATAATCATAAGTTCGGTAGATTTTGGTGAATAGTTTATCATATGCACGTATTGTTTGTTTTTCCAGTGGATGACATGAGTATCGACAATAGTGGCAATATATACATACTCGATGGTAGTAAAGCTCGTGTTACGAAATGGGCACGAGGAGCGTCGTCTGGAGTGGTCGTGGCTGGCGGAAATGCTTTGGGTAATAATGCAAGCCAGCTGTACTACTCCCGTGGAATGTTTTTGGATACAAGCGCCTCAGCTATATGGATTGCTGACACGAGCAACCACCGTATAGTGAAATGGACTTCACCAACAAGTAGTATGGTAGTTTGCGGTAGTCGTGGAGCTGAGGACGACCAGTTCGCCTATCCATTTGGAGTATTTCTTGATGAAAGTAACTCAAATACACTTTATGTGGCGGATACATTTAATCACCGCATTCAAAGATGGTTAACTGGAGCTGCTAGTGGTACGACGGTAGCGGGACTCACAGGTTATTATGGGAATGGTCTCAATCAATTATGGTACCCAACATCAGTCACATTAGATAATAATCGAAATATGTTTATTGTTGACTCAAATAACAATCGTATTCTTCAATGGGCTATTGGCTTAAGTTCAGGAATGATTATTGCAGGTGACATATATTACGGTGTAGCGGCATATTTGCTATACGATCCCATGAACATTGATTTTGATTCCAATGGATCTTTGTATGTTGCTGACACAGCAAATAATCGGATTCAGAAGTTCCTTATATCTTGTCGTGAGTTGCGCTTGTTGATATTTGGATGAAGATTGCTATTGATTTTCTTTGGTTTCAGCACCGGCACAGAATATCTCAACAACAGTTTCGCCTGCAACAACATCTGGTAGATACTTCAGATTTAGATAGCTGAATTGCAAGTAGTATCATCACTGATGGTTTCGTTTGTTCTAGCGCCTATGTCGAACACTATTTGGTCGCTGAATGGAACGACTATCGCTGGATCACCCACTGGCTGGAGTGGACATTCACCAGCACTTCTGACTGAACCTTCAGATATTGCTATAGAGCGAAATGGAACACTCTATGTGTTAGATGCAGGAAATTATCGAGTGCAACGGTTTCTTCCGGGTTCAACGGTTGGAACAACAGTAGTTAATGGTAGTTATGGTACGAGATGGAATCAGTTTTATAGCAGTAAGTTGGCTTGTGCACAGACTACTATTGTACTGTTAAAATGATTCTAGTGGATGCTATGAGTATAGATGCTAACGGTAATATGTACATTGCTGATAGTGGTAATGCTCGTGTCATGAAATGGTCACCTGGCGCATCCAACGGAACAATCGCTGTTGGAGGTAATGGAAATGGGAACAGTGAAAATCAATTTCGTTGTTCTTATGGAATATTTATACCGAAGAATTCGTCAAGCATCTGGCTAGCTGATACTTGCAATCATCGCATTGTACGATGGAATTCTTCAATTACAGGTACTACTGTTTGTGGAAGTTACCGAGCAGGAGCAAGCCAATCCTATTACCCGTTCGGAGTGTTCGTCGACTCGAGTGCTTCAAATACATTGTATGTTGCTGACACATACAACCATCGAATTCAAAGATGGCTATCGGGTGCAACCAGTGGCAGAACTGTGGCAGGACAAACAGGTAATTGCGATAATGGACACAATCAACTGTGCTATCCAGGAGCAGTTGTTGGAGATGAGAATGGTTATATATACATTGTGGACACTTTCAATGATCGTATTATGAGATGGATGGTAGGAGCGAGTTATGGTACTGTTGTCGCTGGAAGTTCAACAGCTGGAGTACTGCCAAATCAGCTTTATCAGCCAAAAAACCTCCGACTGGATTCAACGGGAGCTGTGCTCGTTGTTGATATTACGAACAACCGTATTCAGAAATTTGCCCTTCTTTGTGGTATGTTTGAATGATTTGAATAGTGTCATAAAAGATTCTTGTTTTCCATATTAGCATCATGCTTGAACATCGAAACAGGGGTATCAACTCTTTCTACAAATGGATCAGCAGCGTTAGGTAAGTGAAACATTTTTTCTGACAAACAATGTCGAAATGAAGCAATTATCTAGGTACAAGTACGAGTTTACCCATGAAATCCAATTCTTCTGTTACTACTTCAAATCCGACACAGAAAATGACGACTAAAACAGCAGCAGGCGGTACTTCCACTGTTAATCAACACTTATCTGCATGGGCTCTTTATACTGATTTACACAATCGTTCATTTGATGAAAATTTACATTTAAAAAAATTCCTTCAAACTCATTCGTTAATCTTCTTCAGCTTTTCGTGTGTTTCCCTTTTCTGATTCATGTTAACATTTCAATTATATAAACCCTTCTGTAATTCCGATGGAAAATAGATACGTATTGACATGATATGCACACAAGGATTTAGAATAGAGCAATCATAAGAAACGTATATTCACAAATTGCTTTCATCGTGTCTGTTTTCGAACAGTCAGAAAATGCAATTGTTAGGCGTACTTGTTTTTCTCGCCAATCTAAGTCTTTGTATGCCTCATGTTCGTTCTACTATGCACACGAGTGAACAAGCTTGGATGCGAATGTTTGTTCAAAACAGAGATAATCACGGGTGTGATGCAATCATTCCTAGTTGTGGTCCGAAGGGTCAATGTTGTGATCGTCATGACGAGTGCTATAAGAGACATGGTTGCCGTTCTAACAGTTGGGGCTGGTCATGTAAGCAAACGTGTTTGACACATTTCTCTATATGCGCATTCTGTCATTGATATTTATATAGGGATACCAGGTGTAGCACTGTTTGACTCATGTGCTCGATGTAATAAAGCAGTTTTATTTTGTGTTACGAATATATTTGTATGGCCCGGGCCGAGTGAATGCTGTGGAAATGGAAATTGTGGACATAGCAGACAATAATGATTATTTATCATAAAAAAAATAAAGCTTTTTCAAGATGTGTTCAAGCTTTATTGTCGATTGTCGATGCGTGAACATACCGATTATTAATTTGTGTTTCCTCCTTGTCCTTCTCGGTGTTCGTTAACATTTCTCGAACAGTTTCTTCGAAACTTTTCGGCGATCGTCCCAATAATCTCTCCAATGTCATATCACTCTGTGCAAGATCACCACGTTGTACAGCCAGGTGAATTTCAGCCCATATTTTCATCCATACTTCATTATGAGTTTTCGAATGTTGAACAACGTATTCTTCAAATGAAACAATTTTTATCGGGATATGACGGTTCAAGACATTCGAAACAATCGAAGCGGTTTCCCTCAATGTGTAAGCTTTCGAACCAGTTAGCACAACAGTTTGATTGTCGTAAATATCCGTTGTTTCGATTAATATTTTCGCAGTTGCTTCAGCTAGATCATCCCTTGAAACGAAACAAATTCCGCCGTCAGCTGGTATAACAATCTCGTTAGTCGTCTTAGCATCGAAATGTCCGAGAAAAAGCGGAAACACTTCGGAATAGAAACCTTCACGAATAATTGTATATTTAAGCGACGAGGATTTCAGTAAATTCTCTGTATGCAAATGTGCATTCATTATATCCACGTCTACTGCATCTGCGAGGATCGTACTTGTGTAGCAGATATGTCTGATACCTACATTCCTAGCTGCATCAATCGCATTTCGATGCTCTTCAATTCGTTGCTCCTTGTTGACTGTAATTGACGAAATTAGGAATAACATTTCCCCGCCTTGAAAAGCTTTTTCAAGTGTTTCTTTGTTCTTATAATCACCATGACGTACATCGAATACGATCTTCTCTATTTGAGAATCGACCCCATTAGGATTATAAACAGAAATAATCACATTTTTTGGATCAACACCGAACTTTAGTAGAAAGCGTAAAACTCTCGAGCCAAGGGCACCAGTTGAACCGGTTAATACAATCTTACCCATCGATAATAATCGAATGAAATAAGACTCTATTTACGCAAATGTGTCCTTTCATCGAAAAAGCACATGTTGTTGCTATTTGCGTCATTATGACGTCGGGCAAATTTGTCAATTACCTTTCATAGATCAGTGTGTGGCGTAATGCGAACACACACTAAAGAATCTGTACTGAGTGCTGTGTCGTACGTGGACGAAAAGAAAACCTACACCTGTCCGACCTTTAACGACAAACTCATTCTTAACTATGATTGGTGAAGACAACGATGAAAGAAAATGAAAATTTTTTATTTCATAATCGTTCTGTCGAGTCTATGCAATTTCGAATTCAATTATTCGATTTACAGCAGCCATTTGTTGCTGAATATCTAACGCCTTTTGTCTTGCTTGCTCATCTACTATCACGTTTGTACTTGGTTTCAGTACGATTTTCTTCAATGTCGGACGTAGTTGTAACACACCTTTCCATTCGACGAGATCTAACAGTCGAACGAGATTTCCATGATGGACAACTATACGAACGTCTTGAATGTTAGTTAAAACTCGAATGAAGTCCGCGATCGTTTTCAATTCGCATATTGGATGGTACTGATGGCAACTGTTTACGATTGACGTGGAAATAAGTTCGATACTAATTAATAGATGTTCGATTGTGGAATTGAAATGGCAACTTTTGCTGAAGAGATAATCCATTCGATTATGAGAACAAAGAACGTTCGTACAAGCGATTTTCAATCGTTTGACTGAGCTTGGGAAGTATCGGATGCAATTACATAAATTACGAAAGTCAATATTACTGGCATAGCAAAGAGAAAGGCAGGTAACATTGGCAAAATATGCGAGATAGTCATTCATTCGATCTAGTCGTTCAATGTTAGTCAAAATCAATCTCGTCACATTAGCAGAAGCTTTTTTGTCTTTGAGTAACTGCAATTTAGAACTCAAATCATCTACTTTAATGCGTAACGCTATAATCAATTCGGACGGAATTCTATTAATGATTGCTGCCATGAATTCATCCGAGGGATTATCGAGTAATAATTTAATATTGCGTTCTTGCAATATACCGGCGTATTTAGATGAAAATGTCGTTAATGCGTCGTTTAATGTCATATATGGTACTATTTCATAAAACATATCATCACATAGGCGGGCAACTCGCAAGAAATCAAATACCTAGAAAATAAAATTAACGATCTCAGCATTGAAGTAAAGAGAACACTGACGAAATTTTTCTCATTGTCATCAAATTGATCTTTAAATTTGAGTAGTTCGTCGAATAAAGTTTCCAGAGTTAAATCGCCCATGGTATGTATTAAATGCATACCATCGAATAGTAATTCAAATTCGCAATCGGACAACTCGTCATCTGATTGTCGCAGAACGCCAATTAAGATGGGTGGAAACTGTTCCCAAGGATCATTTACAACAAAGTCAATGTCGAATAAAGTCGGGCATACTTGATATAACCTAAATGTATCTGATTAGAAAACATTTCATTAATAATATCACATACATAGTTCTATTCGAGTATTGAGTGATGTCACACAGCCAAAGAGTATAATTTTCATTCAGAAACTCAAGTAGATATTCAGAGTAGAACATATATTGATAAACATCGAAATATGGAAAACTTCTTCGATGATGAACGCAAATTAGCAGTGGACGACACTATCCGAAAAGAAAAAAAAAAAAAAATTAATTCCATAAAAACTTACTCTTGTTTCATTTGAATTAAATGCACATTCGCGAGCTTCTTGAAATGTTCTTCGAAAAGACCGCATGTACTGACGGCTAACGACACCTGTTTCACTACTCTATTTTGATGTAATTGCATGTGAATTACAAGTGACTCAAACATCGATACTCACCATAGCCTCGCAAACTGTTTCACTGTTAAATGAAAATACATCGTCGATTTGCATGGTTTTTACGGTATATATATTACAGAAGCTCTCGCCAAACCAAGGAAAAAACCCATTGCAGCCTACAGTGCGAGGGCCGTGAATCACAGATTACAGAAGCGAATAAAAAAAAGTAACTTTTTCCAAGCGAAAAATAAATTTTCCAACATAAAAATTGTCGATCGATAACGATCTCGATAAGTATTTCATTGTCAAATAACATCCCAACGTCTTCCTTAATGATTAAGAACTCAATGAAATTATATAGAAAACCTAAAAATAACGACCTATATATACGCGTGTAAATCAGCGGTGACATTAAGACGACACAACTCAACGATGATGGTACACGTTAGTTGAACGTCATTGCGTCGGAATCCGATGGAAAATATGTAGGAAAAATTTTCTATCTATAAATCAGCTTTCCTATTTTGTGTACATTCAGTGTGGGCACCAAGTAACTAAAAGGGTCAAATTGAAGAAAAATATTATTCATACGAGTGTTCGACCAGTACGAGATGTAAACTTATTAGGAGGAGGCGTAACTTTTATGTTTTTCGTTTTCACCGAACTTCTTCTACAGACTCATTATCGTGAACATGATCAAATCCATTCCGTTAGCACACAAGATCAAGTGAGAAATCCTTGAAAAAAGACTAGCAATGATCTGATACAATGTAGACACGCAAGAATGTGTGGATAAACAAGGGATAACCTTTGCGTGATACCATTCCACTCGACGTATGTCATTGTTTAACACTTTTACGAAAATGAGCATCTGCATTGTAGGACGGTGTCTCATACAGTTCAGTAGTATTCCATAATTCCAGTCGAATTGAGGTAAACAATTTTATTCACTCGAACGATATTTTCACGATCAGAGTAGACTGTCGATGGACAAACAGACCGGCTTGAATCTCTGGGTGTTATTTGTGATATCTTAGAGTAGACGGGGAAAAAGAAAACACGAAGATTTCAATCTAATCTTATTTGATTGTCGTTCATATCTATTGGTATTCCTTACAGAAAACGATGTACTTTCCTATACATGTCTAATTGGTGCTGTACCTATTGCGTTCATCGTTGGTGCACTACTCGATATATTACTTGTCGGTCTGTTGCTGAAATCCCTAATAGCAACGACAAACTCCGCCACAATACCAAGTAAATCCGTGCTTTTTCGTTAGAAAATAGATAAAAAAAATTGTCTTTAAAGGCACCTCAATAACCATTATGGCACAAATTTTACTATTAGCACATGAATTTACACGACAGTTTTGCCTACTGTTCAAGACCATATCATTATTGGTCTTTGTGCAAGTGTTACGACCTATGAATGTTTATATATAGTTGTTTGTGGCAGTGGTGGAAATCATAATCTTTATTTTACATTCTTCAATGATGATTGTGTTGGCAGCGCATTTCTATCAATAAACAAATGGATATATGTTGCGTTTGTTTTCGACGCTGCTTCATTGTCACGAAATGCCTATATCAATGAGAAATTGGATGCTACGTACACAGCAGGAACACCCTTCAAAAGTGCTCTCGATAGCATCACGACCGGTGATATACGCGCACTTGGTCCTATGAGCGGAGACATCCGTTTTCAAATCAGATTTGCTTGTCTATGTTACAAACTAAGTCACTTCTGTCGTTCGAAGGAGGTATAGATCAACTAATCATGAATGATCGAGCAAAATCAAGCTGCAAAATTCTACAAAAAGCTACATTATTCACATATTTTACTTTCGATTCTGGCATGTCATCCGTTGATCCAGGACCTAATTCACTGCCAGGTACTGTTCAATAGATTTTCTTCACATCCGCCGGTCGTCCGGGGAGCGCAGTTTCATTCAGCAGTGCATCTTCATCATATTTTCAAATAGCGGATATGACCACTCTCAGTATTAGCAACCGGTCATTTTCTATCCCGTTTTGAATACGAACACGATCACTATCCGGAACATTAGTTCATATTTCTGGTTTGTCCACTGGTCCTGACTGATGCATACTTTTCGTAGGTGTCGATACCAACGGCTAGGTTATTGTTCAAATGTTCAATGGCGTTATTCGATCTGTCATAGGTCCACCTATACCAATGGTACCAGCTTGGAATCATGTTGTTGAAATATGGGACCCAGAAAATAGCCTGCGGTTGTACGTAAACAATGCTCTGTTTTCATCGACTACTTGATTCGCGACTTCATATACCGTAAGTTCAATGTCCACTTATGTGACAATACGAAATAGCTGGGATGGTACTGACATTTGTAACCCTGGTTCAGTCAGTTCGATAGCGCCTAACATCGGTGATATGGATGACTTTCGTATTTACAGTCGAGAATTGAACGCTAATGACATATGCACACTTTTCAAGAGTTAAACTTACATCTATGAGTTGAAGACTAGTGACATCTGAAAAGCTGTACACGTTCGTTTTCTTTTCATGAGAATATATTTCTGCCATAATATTGATTCTTCTCCAAAGGAATACTTTTCTTTGAAAATAGCTTCACGATTTATAGAAAAATTCACATATTCTCTTCATTGGTCAAAGTTCATTCAAATGAAAAAGTAGTCTACTTCGTGATAAGAAATAAAACCTTTCATACCATACCTGTGCAGTTTCGTTGGCGGTTAAAATGGGTTTAGCACCATGTATCATTTCATTTGTCCTGGGTATGTAGTCTCTTTCCATTCCATTTCTCATCCTGTTCATTGCAGGTCTTTTGGCAATCGATATGTTCTGTGATCATTATTTATTCGTGTCCACGTCTCTTTCGTCCGAACAATTGCAAACATGTACCTCGTATTATCAAAACGCGTTTCGTCAACCGTGGTACACCTCCTTGACGACACTCGCTCCGATACTAATCGGTGCTTTGATTATGCTTCGAAATATAGTACGAACAATTTATGATACATTGAGTGTACCAGTGTTTCTTGGAGTTGTCGCTATTTTCATCCTTAAAATTCAAAAGTCGATTGAATCAATTTCGGTTGATCTTCAAGCAAACGATAAAACAAAAGAGAAATATCTACGAGAAATCGCTGACAATCATGCGATCATCGGAGGATTGCTAATCGTATTGTTGATATTGCAGATCTTGGCAGAAAAACGAGTTCATAATTTGAAAAAGAAACAAGCATGAACATGAACGAACATTGATTCCCTTTTCTACTTTGGTTTTTTTATTTACTCAATAAAACTTAGCTGTTCGATGTCCATATTTCTGTAGCCATTTCAATTCTTCTCGAACTTTGATTTTACCATGCCACGGATTAACACTCAATTCATGGCCTTCACCAGGAAAGACAATCAAATTGACAGGTACACCGAGGTAATGTAAACTACGCTCTAACATATACGACTGTGCCGGATCGACTCGAATGTCTTTTTCACCAGTGACGATCAGCGTTGGTGTACGTATTCGATCTAATTGAAAGATCGGCGATTGTGTTTGATAGATATGGGATTCATCCCAAGGATATCCGCCAAATAGATGATGGAAAAGCACAGGTAAATCCATTGTACCCCAAGATGAAGTATGGTCGATTGAGCCCGAACCGGAAAGTGCAGCATTGAATCGATCGGTTTGTGTAATGATCCAGTTCGTTAAAAAGCCGCCGTAACTGTAACCACCAATGGTCAATCTGTTCGAATCAACTATTCCATCTTTGATTAATTGATCGACGCCTGAAATGATATCTCGTGTTGAACGCGTTAGCGGTTGACGACGGATTTCATCGAGAAATTCATCACCGTATCCTGACGATCCACGAAAATTCGGTTCGAGAACCAGCCAACCATGTGCAGCAGCTAATGGAGCCCAAGTGTACCATCCAGCGAAGAATGAATTGACGCTTGCATCATAAGGGCCACCGTGCATGAGAACGAAAAGTGGAAGATTATCTTCTTGATCTTTCCCCGGTGGATAATGAAGAATACCTTCGATAGTTTCGTTACTTACCTCGTCTTTCCACTGATAGACTGTTGCTTTCGGAATGATTCTTTCAGTAAGATGTTGATTTTCATTTGTAATTGCTTTGGCAAATTGCAGTTGTTTAATATCGTCAACGTAGTAAATTTCCTTAGGCCGATCAAATGACGAATAAGCGAATGCAATCGCCTGTGGTCGATTTATGGATGATGAAATATGCTCATAAGTACCCTCCCAGCCTAGATGATGCACCGTTGTGTCTTCTAATGACTGTTGGGTATAGATTCCAACATTCGTTTTGTGCTGCCCAAGAAAGTAAACACCACCATCCGATTTCGGTACATATCCAACGATATTGCCAAGAAAATCACTACCATAACGTTCGGTGTGTCCGTTGGCCAAATCTAACGAGTACAATCGACGTTGTGTATCGTGGAATATCGTTCGACTTGATCGGCGTGTATAATTTCGAAACAGAAGATGGTTTCCACTCGGTGATAGTTGCAATCCTATTTCAAAGCCTTGATTATGCGTTAATCGTGTCAATAACGACTGATTTCGTAGGTCGATGGAATAGATTTCAAAGCTATTCAAATCATCGATCAACGGTGATGTAGATAAAAAAATCAGCTTTTGTTCTAGCGGAACATACAGAAAATCGCTGAGACGTAATGGAATGGTGATGATCGGCGTGAATTGGCGTAATGATGGTCGATCATTCGTCCAATCGAAATCTAGTCGATGTATTGTACTGATATGATTATTGATCCGTTCTCGATATGGAAGAATGTCTTCATCATTGTTTACAAATCTCGATGTGGATGTGACTAAAAAAAGAGACGAATCTTGATCAGACCAAGCGAACGTCGATGGTTTTTCGAGTGTATTTTCGACGGTATGTAATTCTTCAGTTAAAACGGAATAGAAATAGATGTAGTAACTCTTCTCCGATAAACGTTGATGATCATCCGTGGAATTCGAAAGGAGATATTCAGTATGAATAAATGCAATGGTATTTCCACTTGGTGACCATCTTGGACTGAGAAAATAGCCAAGTGTAGATATAATAGACGTTTTCTTGTACGAATCGATGTTATAGACCCAAAGCGTGTACTCGTACGCATTCGAGTTCCATGCTGGACGCATTGTTTGGTAGAGAAGATGCTGACCAGTTGGAGAAAAACTCAATGATGCAAACTCGGTGTTATTGAAAAAATCATCCAATGTCAAGTTCGATTTCGTCTGCAATGATTGACCTACACAGAAGATGATCGACAAAGAGATAATCAAAATCATCGAATCTTATTTCTACAGTTATATCCAGATACAATTTTCTTCGGTATTGTGGGTTTTTATACAAGAAAATATCAAACAAACGGATATATTTTAATATTTAAATAAGATTATCGAGATGTCCTCGGAAGGACTGATATATATCGAATGGATTTATTTTGTGTTAACCTTTTACAAATGATACTGTTCTGCTGTATATCAAATGTTTAGAAAAAAGAATAGCATAACATGTCGTCATCTTATGAAATTACAAAATATGACTCATCATACGCTCTCTCTCTCCCTCTTTTCTTCATTTCTGTGTAACATGGCGTCAACGAACGGCAACAAACGTAAACAAACTGAATATAGTCAAACCGATATTCGCTCGAAATTCATCAAACTAGATAAGCCAACTGACGAAACTCAACCAGTACTTCCCGTTCCACCAACTGTTGTTCATTTACGTCGTGCGAAAGGCAAAGTTGTGCAAGATTGCGATGTCTATATTGCACGTGCTTGTAACATGGGAGGCTGGAATCTTCCGCAAAGTAAATGGCACAATCCATTTTCTGTCAAACAATATGGGCGAGATGGTGCATTAGAAAAATTTAGAAAACATATCGAATCGAATGAAAATAATCTTCTCAATGATCTTCATGAGCTCGAGGGAAAACGATTAGGTTGTTGGTGTAAACCGAAACCATGCCATGGTGACATTCTTTGTGAACTATTCAAACGAGAGATTCAACAATCGGCGAAAAAAATCTCAGAATAATGTATCTATATCTATTCTTCTCTTTTTCTTAAGTATATATCAGTCTTGAATAAAATGTAATCAATGTCTGGCGTGGTTTCTCTGGAAGATAGTAATATTTGAAGAGTCTGTAATTTCCTCTTTAAAATCAAAACATAAAAGTTGCTCAAGGACTTTTATTAGTCTGAAACGATTAACTAGAACAATTCAACACTATTATTATGTTCATAAAAATAGTCGATGATGCACTTTTCTTGCACGTTAGTTGTCAAACAGCAAGTCTGAAGACTATATCAACAAGGGATGTGCTCTGAATGCGATCGATCGAGTCAGTACTTTTTTTTTCTTATTTGAGTAAAATCGACAAGAACAAATAGTAGGCTCTTGATTGTGTTCCGTGTCTTTCTCTTGGTTTGTTAAATTTTTTATTATTCCATTACAGATACGGAAATTATTTCTTCTTAGTGTGCCTTTTGCAGTTTTTTCAGGAACATAACTTGAGAGTTCTGATTAAGAGTGAGAATGTTTTGGCAACCAGTAGTCCTTTTTCTTCTTGCTTGCTGTGTATCTATATCAGCAACAAAAATTATCATTATAAAAGATGCTCGATTGGTACCATCGAATACAACTGTCGTGTTAAATGCATTGTTTAACATCACTTCGCAGTATGAATGCCTTTGTCAGTGCTTGAGTACATCTCAATGCCGTACGGTTACCTACTACGGATATAATAACACTTGCTCACTTTTTTCTGCATCCGTAAAACAAACCTGGCTCCGAAGAATGTCATCAAACCAAAGTACAAATGTGATTTCTCTGGATAATGACACATTGAGTTGTAAGTAAAATGACTACTACCATTGCTTCTTACGACGTATATCTGTGTGCTGTTTTAGCATGCACTACATATGATTTTCAGCAACCGCCATCTCTGTTCGTTACTAACGCAGGTCCTACAGCAATGGTGTTTTCCGACTTCAATCAAGATGGCCATATCGATTTGGCGGTGACCAACACAGACGCGCAAAGTGTGTCAGTTTTCGTAGGCTTAGGTGATGGATCGTTCGATGCAAATGTATTGACTTTTCCTACAAACGGTAGTAATCCTTACTGGTTGACTGCTGGTGATTTTAACAGTGATGGAAATATCGACTTAGCGAATTGCAACGAAGGATCTAATACTATTTCTATTCTCTTTGGATATGGCAACAGCTCATTGTTTTCGTCGCCTACAACTTTTTTAAGCGGTGGAAGTTTACCATCTTCAATCATCAATGTCGATCTGAACAATGATACGAAATCTGATCTAGTCGTGACAAATACAGGTAGTGACAAGATTACTGTGTTTTTGAACAACGGTAACGGAACATTTCAATTTCCTGGATTATCGATGACAACTCTGGTATTACCGTCATCAGTTGCCAGCGGTGATTTCAATTATGATGGAAAGATGGATTTAGCTGTAGCTAGTCGTGGCAACAATCGGCTGTACATCCTATTTGGCTTGGGTAACGGAACATTCCAAAGTAATATGTCTATTTATTCGACTGGATCAACTCCATATCTCGTTCGTGCAGGAGATTTCAATGGAGATGCAGTACTCGATGTTGTTGTGGGTAATTTTTATTCGAATTCAATCAACGTTTTCATTAACGATGGCTCGGGTGCGTTCAATGCAATGTATACGTATACAACATCCATAGTAAATCCAATTGACATTGCTATACATGATTTAAATGCAGATTCGATCGTTGATCTAGCTGTTAGTAATCAAGGTGGTAATATAACAATCTACTACGGGACTGGTAATGGAACATTTGGTTCAGTGAAGTCCCTTTCATCACAAGGTCAAACATTAAAATCGATAATCATCTCCGATCTCAATGAAGATGGTCTAGATGACATAGCGATACTCAATAGACAAAATAATAAATTGGCTGTTCTACTAGCAGAATGTATTTAATTCTCAAACAGACCTAATACATGTATTTTAATTGAATGATATTAACATCAAAAAATAAAGTCCTATATCTTGCTCTTCTTCGCACTAGATCGTATTCTCTGGAAAATGTTCACCTATCGCGAGTCCTTCACGTTGTGTTTCTTTTTCATATCCAGAATTTGTAGTTAAACTTCGTTTTGGATGACAAGCTGACCAGGTAAAATGTGCAAATATAATAGGCACCATTTGAAAGCCGAAGAACCATCCTTCATGATGGTTAATTGTCGTGTAGAATTCTTGTAACGATTGAAGAAGATTAAATATTCCAACAGTCAAACACATAATACTTGAAACACACATAAGAACAAGTGCTTTGCTGTTCATGTCATGGATTGTTCGGCTCCAGTACCAAACAGGATAGAAAACGACTGTGCCAATGAGTAAAACCGAAGCCGACAATTCACGGAAAAGGTAACTTGTACTGATGTTTTCTGGTTTGAAGGCTAACATATTTGCTGGTACCATGAGCACACCCGATGTGATAACGCACAGCATAGCACTGAGAAGAATGAAACGTGACTTTTTATGATGAATTTCCATAACAAATGCAAAATTTCCAACGATAATCATACGTTGACCAATGGCAAAAAGCATATTGGTAATAGCGAAAACCGTTCGCGAGTTCTGTTTTTCTGCAGGCACCGTTGCACGAACAATAAGTTCAATGAAAATGGTCATATGTGAAACAAGTAAGAGAACAGATATACGAGTTGGTTGAAAACGTGTTTGACATGATTGAATAAACCAGGCGATCAAAGATATACTGACTACACCAGCAACACAACCGTTTGTAGTTTTACTTGGAATGTAAGTTGGATATGGGTATCCAAAAGATTCGTTCATTTTTATGTGTTGAAGGTGTTTGAAGGAAAAAAAAGATATTCTAATGACACATATTCTCGTAGTTGTTTTAGGATTCTTTATCTGAGATGGATAAGGCAACAGTATGACGATGAAGAAACAACAATGTAGAAGATATATTTTGATAGTGAATCAGAGAAAGAAAAGGAATTCGTTCTAGGCAGAATCGAACGGACTGTATGTTTTTCGACGTATGATATCGAATTTGATCTATAGAAAATGTTTTCTCTTTTTATTTGCAAATCATCGGTGGTACGCTTGACTATATACAGGAAAAGAAAATCAAGATTATTACAATAGTTTCCAATATTAATTTGTTTTGCTTCGATTGAAATAATTTTTGAAAGCAAAATTGAATTTATCTCGAGCCAATGCTTCACAACTAACTTCTCCGTATTCAACACTTAAGATTGTACCATCAGCATCAAGAACACGATTAACGATAGTTAAGACTTTGCATTCGGCAGGAGGAGAGGGAATGGACGAGCTGTTGTTTGCTTTGAAATCTGAATCACGCGACATCTTATGTCTAATGAGAACACGAAGCGAAAATGGGTGTGCGATTTTATACTGCAATTTCAAGAATCGAACAACGCAATTGTGCAGAAAAGGGAAGTAATGTTACATTTCAAGTGATTGGACAGTCTTATTAAAAATGATGACAAATAAAATAAATAAAATGCCTATGGCATTCTTCGTCTTCTCTACTATTTACACTTTTATTCGTTTGAGAAAGAGAAATTATTTTTCTTTTACAGTATAGTATATTTCTTTTTTTGTTCATACTGAATTGAAAACTTTTCGAACAAATAATAAATTCGTTGTTGACGTTGGAACTATCTTCAATCACGAATCTAATTTCAGTACTTTAGAAGCAAACACGTATTTATGAGCAAAATGAAAACTCGTTATTTTTGTTTTCAACTTTGGGCAAACATTGCGCGTATTTAAAAAGAGACCTTTGGTCATCTTTTCCTCACAAGAAAATTCGCTTAGGTCGTTGCAATGAACTAAATCACTAACGGATAAAAAAATCGACGAAGTTTGTTCTGTGTTTATTTATATACCATTTTTATTGATTAAATACACCCTTTCCTATTGGATTAAAATCTTGGTTGAAAGGTAGTTTTCTTGTTTCTTCGTCGATATTCATATAACGTCAGAAAATATTTGTCAATTACATTCTCCACGATTGAGAATCATGATTCAAGACAGAATAAGTATCGACGTTAATTCTTATGGAATTTGTAGATCATATTCTGTTCTTTTTACTGATATAATCTATCCATGTTTGAAACAACACGTTCAGTTTGTTATTTTTATCGTCTAGCAGTTTTCATTAACCTTTCATATTTCTCTTTTCCATGATTTGAAGTAGGTTAAATACAATTATTTTAACGAAACACAATCGTTTTCTATACTTCTCGTGCAACTGCTATGATTTTAAGAATGTCGAACTATTCTATAGAGTGGTCGTTTATTTATATTCATTTTGTGTATAAAATACAGCAGAAGGTTAATGCAGTTATTCTATGGTTCCTTATTTCTCGTGATGAGGTGGAATATAGATAAACGCTTCAGATTAAAGTCTCGTCTAACTGTTTCTCAAGTACTCATATCTTGGAGTGCATCGAATTATCTAGACCGTCATCGTGGTATCCTTGTTAACGCGACTTCTAATTCATAATTCGATATAGACAATCCCGACTGCACAGTATCTTACGCGTGAAACAGTTAGCAGCTGTTAGGTATACCTTACTTTTTTATAAGCAGACTTTCGCTTGTGTCGCATGCTGGCAGTTTTTACTCTGATATTTGATGTACTACTGTATTTTTATTACTATTGATTTGATTTGAACATCAGATTTTCTACGGTGTGTCCTTTACATTGTGGTGATTTTTGAAAGCTTTTATTTGAAACTAAACTAAAGTAAAGCGAAGATTCAGCATGAGTTTAAAAATATATTTAGAGTTTTGGTCGATACACTAGTAGTGACGATATCCAAACGATTATCCCCGTTCAAATCTCCAATCGCTACTGCTGATACTTGTGCGTCAGTTGTTAAGCTCATTGGTTTTGCAAATGTACCGTCCCCATTGTTTAGAAAGACGCTCAGGTAATTGCCAGAGCCACTACCAGTGACAATATCAATATTTGTATCGTCATTTAAATCTCCAACTGCTACTGATCTTGGATATGGCCCAGTTGAATAAACTATTTGCGATCGAAATGTACCATCACCATTGGCAAAGAATACACTCATTGTAGAAGCGTCATAATTAGCAGTAACAATATCCGTGTAGTTGTCATTGTTAAAATCTGCTATAGCTACTCCCCATGGGCTTTTTCCTGTTGAATATGGTTGACGTTGTTGGAAACTTCCATTGCCATAGCCAAGATATACACTTACAGTGTTACTTGAATAATCTGTTGCTGCAAAATCTAAACGTTGATCTTTATTGAAATCAGCAGTAACAACTGCTGTTACATAAAGACCTGTAGGTAAAAGATTGTAGCTCTGGAAAGTTCCATTACCGAATCCCAACAAGATGCTAGCAGTATTGTCGTAATCGTTGACAGCAACTAGGTCAAGATGATTGTCATTGTTGAAATCAGCAGCATTTACACCGTATGGATAATTACCAACAGGAATGTTTAAACGTGTATTAAAAGTTCCATTACCAAAACCAAACAACACTCCCAAGCTGTTAGCTGAGGCTTGTGCCACGATCAAATCTGTTGTATTATCTCCATTTAGATCAGCAGCGGTAACGAATACGGAATAAGTTCCAACAATGATTAACGAAGTATTTCTGATTGTTCCATTCCCATAATTGAGATAGATTGTCACGCTTGGATCATATGCGTTAACTACAACAATATCTTGGTAATCATCATTGTTCAGATCGGTAATGCTAATCGACCAAGGTTTACTACCAGTCATGTAAGACTGATAGCTGCTGAACGGTAACGCTCGACACTGTGTATCTAAACCATAAATATCAAGTAGATAAATGAAAACTTAGGCATACTAACTGGTCGACGTTGCATTCGAAATAGGATTAGTGAGTGTCGAATTTGCCACTAAAACAAACATTTATTAAAGCATTCTATATTCAATCGATCGGCATCTATCTGTCATTATCACTACATGAGTCAGTGTAGTGTTACCTTCGTTAGTAGTTGATGCTTTTTGCGAAGTGGTGGTACTCGTACTAATGTTAGTTGTAACGCCGTCTGATGAGGAATTGTTCTGGCGAGTAATAAGAAAATATGCCACGATTGCAACAATGATACATGTCAAGATTAGAGCGGTGCAAATGGCGATTCGAGTTATAGTCCGTGACAATTTAGGTCTGCAAAATCAATTTCCATGAAAGGGTGCACACAACATAAAGAACACGTACTTAGGTGACGTCTTGGTCACTGACGGCACAGAAGAATCCATTGGCAACTTGTGAAGCTCGCTCGAAACTTGGCTATTTTGAATATATACGTCACTTACTCGATTATAGGAATGTCGACAATTGTTAGACGAATGCGTGTATACGAAGCACGAGATCTCCAGTTTATATACAAAAGTCTGAAGCCGTATTTTCCGCTAGAAGTAATACTTTTTTCTAACTTCAATCACAATTTTTAGAGGTAAAACGAAGCCGTAGTTTCTTCTAAACATATTATTTCAAGTACAATGAATTTTCAGTGATTGAGTGTACTTTTTGATTTTTCTTTGGCAAATGTCAATACGGTTCTTTACAATCTGCAGAATTATATATATATATCGAAGCGTGCGTAGATTAGTTCCAGATTCTCTTGGGAATTCATTAGATCTTTAGCTAACTCCCAGATAGACAAACATTAAAAATAGGGCGTTTTTGAGCGTGAAGATGTGTGCTTTTTACGCTGGAAAAAAACTTGTTTTTTGTCAGAAAAATCTATCTGATTGCAATAAAGTATGTCTCCATTAGCTTGCTTTTAGGAAAAAAGATCTTCAAGTGTAAAAAGCGCATTTCTTCACGCTCAGAAACACCGTACTTTTCAATGTTTGTCCGTCTGGGCTAGAAATGGAGCACTTTATTTTCAACAACAGCATGATCTGCCATCGCGATTTATCTTTCCTAATGAAAATGGGTGTACATGTACAGTGGAGATCGAAATAACTGAAATTCCAGTCAAATGTATTTTTACAGCGTGAAGTAACCAAAATTCAATGCTATTAGTTTTTGAATTTAGAACAATGCATGTAAACATGTTGTTCGTGTCGATTTATATTGACAGTTCTTGTTTGCTAAATATGATGGATAAAGTATCTGAAATTCTATAAGAAAATGTTTCACATAGAGAACGCAACAATCAAATATATACCATTTATTTGTTAGAAAAAAAACTATGTGGATGCGTTTACTATCTCTATTAATAATCATCCTAACCTACAATGATCTATCCGTATCTATAGAACCAGTGCGATTGTATCACTCGTTAGTAACAAATAGCGATGGAAGTCATAGTTGCATCTATCGACATTTTTGTATCTGTCGACATTTATTTACCAATGAAAAACGTGCTCGTCAGTTGGTTCCGTATTGCTTACGCCCAGCCACAGAGGAATATCCTATCGAAACTACTCGTTTGTAATTGGTGTGAAGCTAGCACAACGGAGCTAGCATGAACAAACGATATGTTAGCTAAAAACTTTTTTACTAAATATGTCCCGTCCATGAAAAATACACCATTCGACTCAGAATTTAATTCTGCATCGAATGATGGTACTTTTACTCACGGAACAAGCTTTGGAAAAATTCTATCTGGATTATAAATAGACCTGAAGGAAACGAACAAAGATATAGATAAACATTTTTCCAAAGTTTGTTCGGCGGATAAAAGTACCATCATTCGATGCAGAATTAAATTCTGAGTCGAATGGTGTAGTTTTCATGGACGGGACATATTTAGTAAAAACGTTTTTAGCTAACATATCGTTTGTTCGTGCTAGCTTCACACCGATTACCTCTCCCCTCTTTATCGTTACACATGGCTACGACGTGCGAAACTTTATCATAAATATTTTCAGCATGTCAAATGCTTTCATGATGAGTACTATATGTGCTTCGTCGACAAACAAGGTGTGTTGGATTATTCAGGTTTTAATCATGGTATGAATAATTGCTCGATGCCGACTGTTTATTGTGAGAACGGTGGTCAATGTCTACAGAGTAGACGATTTGGTCGACCGATGTTTAGTTGTGTCTGTCCGGAATGTTTTCATGGAGAATTTTGTCAAATTACAATGACTTCTGATTCGTTAACATTGGATTCGATTATCGGTGGAGAGATTCGAAGTGATGTTTCACTTCTAGGCCAACCTATTTCCGTGAGAATATTCTTCGTTCTTGTTATCGTTACATTGATCGTTGGTCTCATTTCAAATCTATGTTTAGCACTAACATTTTCGTCTGGGGAAATACGTCAGTACGGCTGTGGATATGATTTATTTCTCTTATTTTTGATAAGTCAAATTACTTTGTTTTTTCGTTGTTCGTTTCATTTATTTATTGATCAGTCAAATTAGTATCGTTTACAGTAGAATGTATTGCATGTGAACGGACGGTCAATGTCGTGAAAGGAATCTGTTTTGATAAGAAGAGAAGCACTAAAGCTGCGAAATAAGTCATACCGATTCTTTCCGTTGTTCTCATTTCAACATCGATCCATCAGCTTTTTAATCGAACGTTAATTTCTGATCCGTGATCTGATATACGGCTATGGTGTGTGATTCGCCATCGCTATGCATGGTTAAAAACATACGAAATCATTTTCAATCTTTTGAACAATATTATAGCGTTTTTATTCAATTCCATTTCGGCAATTGTTCTCTTGGTTCAATTCTCTCGTTCCAAGAAAAATCTTAGTAAAGATACGTACTGGACTATATCATTGATTATTTTCATTCTGAGATGTATTAGATCAGGTTGGCAATTTTACATTGCAGCAACCACTTGCTTCTAGGCTATTGTTCCTGTTGCGTGTATATTTTTCATTTTTGTTTTGCCTTCGTCGACTTACATGAAGAAATTTGAAGAAAAACCAAAAGCAATTTTCTGAAGAACACTGTTTGAATACATATTGCGGCTATTCTTCAAGCGTACGTACGGAAATATGTGCATGTTTGTGAGAACTCTCAGTGTAAAATGTCGTCACCATACCTGGATGCTTTCTGTTCATATCATCATTTATCGAACGTTTTAAATAAACATCCAAAATACCATCATCAATAGAATTCCTATTAGTCTATATAGAGTAGAGTATTTATTAATGAATCTTCGTTAGTCAAAGTAATACACAGATCGTTTCAAAAGGAAATTTACCTTTCACCACATATTGTTTGGTACTTGAACTTCCATGAACGTTCATTTCATTTGATACTTTTTTATGTTTTGTCAGCTTTTCGAATCGCTCAAAATCACTTGCTGTGATTTCTACATAGTTATTCGATCGTGACAAAAAGAATTTTGTCAATTCGGTACGCATTGGTTTCAGACGTTCTAGTGTTGATTTCCTAATGCGCTCTTGCATTTCTTCGTCATATGTTTCCAAGTCATCAATATCAAGCGTGCCATGACGATAGATTCCCAAACTACAATAGTTTACGATATCAGAGCATTTAGGATGAGCTTCGATATCTTTAATCAAGAGTTGAAGTCTATCGAGCGATACTTTATCACAATGGGTAAGAATAAGAGTTGAAATCGCTTTGAAACGTTCACCAAAGAAATCAATCAATGATTTGAACGTTTCTATATCATTTTGATGCGTTCTGCCAATAACACTAACAAAAGCGATAACATTAAGATCGCGAATTTTACCGCTTGAGAAAACATTCGAAAAAGTGTAAGGAGTTGTTCATCGGTTCGT